GTCCGGACGAGTTACTTCGTTCGCTGGCATGGCGATCCACCCGCCTGAGACGGCTGGGTGCCTCGCGCCCAGATTATTGTTGAAGTCCTGGGTCTTGTCGAGCAGGATGACGAGACCCATTCAGCGTGCTCGAAGAAGGGCCGTCGGAAAACGACCTCCCCGAACGCGAGTTCAGGGAGTGCAAGGTGTCAATTTTTTCGGTTATCTCAGCAGAGATGCGCGCTCTCCAGTAGGGAACATTAAGGAGGGTGGCCTTCCTAGGGGCACGGTATGAGTTGTCCAGGCAGCTTGGACATGAATAGCCCCACGAGAGACATGTCAATCCTGCCTCTCTTGACAGTCGGTGCAACTTGTATCGTACATTGACTGTTTACAATTTTCAAACCTGATGCGAGCTGCATGAAGTTTACAGACCAGGCCTTACGGCCAATGCAATCGATATTATGGATGAAGGGGTTAAATTTTTACACTAAGGCCTAAACGTCTCAACCACGGTTGCCGTTGTACCACAGATGCTTGAAGACCACATCGGTGAAGAACTAATCCTCAGCGCGGATAATTTTTCGTACTGGAATTAGGTGGGCAAATCTTCCTGCAATCGAACAACAGGATTCGGTCCAGTTCGGTAATCATGCCGGCCAACCGGTCCTACTCCTTGGATGACGGAATCCAAGGACAATCCACTTGAGGAGCGTAGCCTAGGACATTTCAGATCCAGGTGTCTTGGGTGGTTTCATCATAAGCACTGACACCAGTGACACCCCGATCCCTTGAGTTGCTTCTCTCGTGGAAATGCATAGGTGCATCACCACCATCACCACGCGTCCTATCGTCAGATGGACTTGCGTGAGACGAGGATTCGTCCGACGAATCGCTTATTCCGAAGGCCTTGGATAAGATGCCGCCACGTTCCCCAGAACCAGTCTACCTGGCTCTTACAGTGTTCGCCCCGGATGATCCGAAGGCGTGAGGCGTCGTCTTCAAGTCGGATGCACCATTTGGCTCGCCAGAAGAGATTAGCTTTATTTCAGGCTCATCCAAATCGCGATTCGCAGCACCCGCTGCAGACGCAGCGGATGCATATGTCGCACGTGGTGACTCACCACAAGGACTCTTCACAACAGGTAACGCCTGTTGCTGAGTCGAAACAGTAGGCGAAACATCACCTGCTGCTGAAGCAATGAAGTACTCTTCCGGCTACACGCATGCGTGCAACCGCATTTTTTGCTCCTTCGGCATTACTTCGCATGGACTTTGACACCATGCGATGATTTGGGAAATGAGTCGAAATTCGACAAGTACTCCCCTTCTTAAAGTGATCCGGCGGTGGTCACTCTGTCCTAATTTGTTAGATTGAGTCAACGGTTAGTTATTGGAAAAGGGGGGGTGATGTAACGGGGTACCCGTCACATGATATTGACACCAAACGGTGTCAATAGGGAGATTGTCTAGTTTGACAATTCCCTACCAATACTATCCGAGATGGATAACATTAATGGGATATTGTCCCTTGGGATAATATCTATGCGCTGCTTAAAGAATGTTTGACAACATACGTATCAACCAGAGTTACCACCAATCGCTGCTACGACGCTCGTAGTGAGTGGTAAGCAGGTTGTATTCATAAGACAATGTAGCTTTATATAGATAGATAAAGACTGAAGTTATATTGATAGCTTAACTGTATTAAATACAGATATCTTTTTACCCTTTACTCATCCTAGTTGTTTGAGTAGAGTAGCTTCCTCTGCACGTACTAATGTACGTGAACTTTCGTGGCACCCCAAACAAAGGTTGACCCGTTACACATTTGGTGTACATCTGTGCAAGGAGCAGCAGGGAATGAATGAAACGGGCCTTGAGCTTGTTTGTAAATGCAGCATCGCTTCTTGAGCCGCATGCACTTCTCACACGGCAATGAGGGTACACCGAAACGACCATCAAGAAGTGGAAAGCTAGCAGTGTTAGCTAATTCAATGTGTGTCCGAGAAATAAGTTTCTTTTTTTGTTCCTGCTGAATGGAATTGTCGACATGATTACGCGATGAAACAGTCACGACAACATGAGCGAGTAGATAACAACGCCGAGAGTTTTCGCTCTTTGAGCTTACGAAATATTTTTCTTCACATCATACGTGTACACGAACGCAATCATCATTTGTTTGAAGAAGACAGTGTGCAACTAAGTATCACTTAAGTCCAGCACGACCAGTTTGCTTTTTGCGGGCTTTAGAGCGCGTTAGCTGATTCATCCGCATCATCCTTGGTAGGAGTTAGCCCAAAATTAATCGTTACGGGTGCTAAACAACCGCTACGACCTTTTCATAATTCATTTGGACACATGCGTGGTCTCCAGGCATGACTCTGTGTGCAGAAAATACTGTGCAGCTCTCAAGCCAGCACTGAGGTCAACTCAGTGATCAAGTCTTGCTCGTGCGGCTTAATATCCTCTGGCCTGCATTACTTTAAATTTTACTTCCTCCATCACATCCTATTGAGAAACCAGCATCTGGTAGATAAATTTGATAGTTTGCTGCATTTGACCAATCCTTATAAAGATTCCAACAGATATGCGCAAATGAAGCAAATATGAGCTGTTTTATCGTGTCTATTTGCAGCTCCGTACATTTGCCAAATCGACTCGAATTGTCGTCGCGTGACATCTTAGTAATTCCGAAAGACATCATTGGCGGGTTATCTTAGAGCAAACGCTCAATATTGTCGTTCTGCTTTAGCTGAAACACTGACGTCAGGCGGTTGCCTATCGATGCCAAGTGAGACATCAAATATTGGGTCGTCTCCGTTTTAACAGCTCCGGAGTCCTCACTTTTCGCATGGCTCTGGTTTTTCCAAACAGACGCGTGTGATGAAATACTACTTCAGTGGTGGCATGCACTTAAGTTAGTAGTTTAATGCGGTCACAATGGAGATGTTTTCTTCTGGATCTCCCTGTTATAGTGTTGATCCACGAGTACTTAAAACGAAAAAGTAGCAAGAACAAACAAATAGCTTGGACAATGCAGGTACGTACTACTCACTGCGTTTAAATCCTTGATAACATATTAAATTCTACAAGTTTTTTTATAAATTACGAGGAAATACGAAGAATGAAATATATCCTTGGTGTTGATGCATTACTCTCATCCGAATAGCGTGAGCCAGAAGGTTGAAGCTATTAGTGACCGTGCGCGACATGAAAGACGATAGCTATAAAAACGCACTTAACTACGTGTGTCTTTCAGTCTGTCATTGTATTTATTTGTAAATGCCGCGGTTAAATGAACATTGCACGTACTAAGTGCGATCTAAAAATTTCTCCTCATTGGCGTATAGCTTTAATTATTCCTATATTTTAGGAAAATCACTAATGAATCCCACGCTTGTGATTGGCTTAAGATCAACCAAAGGTGAGTGCTAGCATATCATGCGAATGCTTACGCTCATAAGAAGAGGCTGATCGATTTCCCGAGTATGCTGCACTAAGTTAATACAGATATTATTATCGCCATACTCATTCTTCAGAGACTGCTGAAGTACGATGTTTTGCGTTCTGATCCAGTTCTCTATATCGAATTAATTATAATGAAGAGTGAGCTCCTGAGCTTGCCCACATATCTTGTGGCGTTGTACAGAATGCGGATCCTTTTTATCAGGTTCAAAATAGAAGACCTTTAGGCCAGAAGCTGACCACCACAAGTATTGCCTTGTGCTTGAAGGAACCATTCATCAGGAAAGTTTCAAGTTGGTAATTGACATTTGGCAGTCGAAGCGCCGTATTTATCAATCTGAGTTATTACTTTTTGTAGTAGAGCTACAACGACCTTTGTAAAAGAAAGCCTTACGACTCTAGAAGTCGCATAATTCTACAGAACTAAGTTCCTATTGTTTAAAAAAATATTAGTGAGGTAGATGGCGATCGCTGAATTTATTAGGTGGTCCCGACTATCCGCTGGTGTTCAGACGATCGACTAATAGACGGGGTACTACGTTTACGTGTGCTTTGCTTTCCTCACCTTGTGTACCCATCGGTAGGGCGGGTTGCAATCTTCTCAATGGACTCGTGTCGAGAGAAGCTTGACCGTGCTGGGGGTGAAATTTGTTACCGTGCAAAATCTTCACACGATCACGGGTACACTATGATTTTACTTGATGTAAGCCACCCAAATCTCAACGATATCGCCTTGTCCTCTACGTTGATGCTTGATACGCAAGCCTGCTGACCACTTGAGCCATCTCGCGATCTTGGGCCTTGTCCTGTGCATTCTTGCTGCGTCCAATAGCAGTCGGAGAAGGTGAGAATTCATGGTCCTCAGCCATTGATCTTGGGATAGACTTGATTTCAGTAAAGGCAGCTTTCTTGACGCCGCGAGGCCAATATTCCTGCCCGGATAGAGGACATGTACTTAGAAGGAAATTATATTCTGTTTAATTGTAACCAATCAACCCAAAAACCTATCACTATGCCTATCCATATATCCTACTCGATGCCATGCGTAACGTTCTCAGGACGATCGTTGTAACGGGGTGAATCGTTACATAACAATTTATAAGAAATTGTTAATAGAATATAACTATAAGAGTTATATTCTCAGAATATTGTCATAAGGACAATATTCTGTAGCACTTCCAAGTAGTTCCTAATTGGTTGATATAGGCCATTATATCAACCAACGAAGACGCGCCACGACAGACGCACGCAATGAGTGGTGAGCAGATAACTGATTTACACATTTGTATTTAGACATAGTTAGATGAAGATAAATAGTGATTTATTGCAGACATTAACTATTATAAATACAGTTCTACTTTTTACTCTAACCGAGTACTCGCTTCTTCTTACCGTCTTCCTCTGCACGTACGAGTGTACGTGAAGTTACGAGGCACCGCCTTATTCTGTTATCAGAATAAGTAGCTTGTACTGTCACCAGTACAAGCTTCAGGGTGCCCCGTTACACCTGGTAGCACTTCGTAGTCCGTCCAAGGACCGCGTTCACATCCAACATGAATATGTTGGATGATGAAGATGACCAAAGCTTTCACGCTACGCGTGACGGCTACTCCCATTTGAGCGATGTCGAATGGGATGCGGTTGAACGAATGGGTTCGACCATGGGCATCCATGCTGTTAGCGTCATGCTAGAGGCTCTCAATAGAGATGCCCAACATGCTACTATCGCCAAGTTCATTCAAAATGAACTTGACGCAGAACGCGAGAAAGTAGCCTTGCTTCACCAACAAGGTTCTCAACAAGCAGAGTTGTTGAGAGAACAAGGTGCTCAACAGTTTGAACTGTTGAGACAGCAGCAGGCTGCTGCTGGCGGGTCGATGCACTCGCGTCGGCCCGAGACTTTGAAGATTGACATCTCAAAGTATAGGGGGGTCGAAGAAGACTCCCTCTTGAGATGGTTCGTCGAATTGGATGACGCCATAAGGGCGCGTCGCATCGACGACGGGGATATGCAAGTTGCATTTGCCCAGTCAAATCTGGCAGGACGTGCCAAGACTTGGGCACTGGGGCTCAAGCTGCACGACCCATATGCGTTTGGGTCGTTGGAAGTCTTCAAGTCGCGGCTCAGACAAACGTTTGAACCGCCTAGAGCTGAGTTCAGAGCTCGAACCGAACTCTTGAAGCTCAAGCAGGGTAAGCGTGATGTGCACGCTTACGCTCAACATATACGACATCTCACGAGTTGTATAAGTTCCAATCCGGTGGATGAACACACGTTGGTTTCGGTGTTCATGCAGGGTCTTGCGGATGGTCCCGTCAAGACTCACCTGTTCCGGCTTGAACGAGATTCACTAGAACAAGCCATTTCAATTGCGGAGCAGGAAGACTTCAGTCTGAGACAGGCTCGCGCCAGCTCGACATCATATCGTCAACCGAGACGATATGACAACGGAGGTCCAGAGCCGATGGAACTCTGTTATGTAGAGAGCGAGAAGGCTCGCTCTACAGGCTACAAGAAGTTGCAGAGATGCAACAGATGTCAAAAGACAGGACACTACGCTTACGAGTGTAGTGCCCCTCGTCCAGTGTCTCGCGACACTGGGCGTAGTGACCGTCCACCCATGAGAAAGGGGCAGGGACGAGGGTCCGCAGTTGGTGCAAATACGCAACAACGGGATGGACCGTCAAAAAACGGACAGGATCAGTAGGTGCGGAGCACCCTACTGATCCAGCAACGTCAAGAGAATTTGTAGGCCTCTTGATGAAGGTTGCTCCCAACACACAGACATTGTGCGTTGCTGCTCTAGGTAATGAGATCTCACTCATTACCTTGAAACTCGAAGTGACGAATAAGTTGTCCCTTCGAGCTCTAGTCGATTGTGGGGCGTCCAACAATTTTGTGCGACGCCAATCGCTAGAAGATGGTCACTTTAAATTCAGTGAATGTGACACACCTCCTACGAGGATGACGGTACGTCTTGCGACAGGCGCATCCGTAATCGTCATGAAGCGTATAGTGAAGATTCACTATACGCTAGAAAGATACCCAATACGACGATGACTTTATCGTATTGGATTTGGATGACAAATTTGATGTCATCCTTGGAATACCGTGGCTCAGAAGGTACGAACCACGGGTAAACTGGCAACATCGGACAGTAACGATGCCTGCCGCTTGTTCATCAGATGGCCATCTGATGAACGTTTTGGAGCGTCCACAAGCGTGTGGATGTACTACGAGTGAGTGCGATGGCCTCACTTGTGGTACGGTCGTTAGTACGACTGCACAAAACCTTAGTGTACCAAACGGTTACACTTCGGAGCAAAGTTCCGGCGGCTGTGAGGAAACACAGGCTGCGCCGAAGGTCCACCACTCGAATAAGTCGGGTGGACTGGGACAAAGATGTATTCCTAGAGGGGAACATCTAGAAGAGAAACAATCGATCGCTCAGGTTAAGCGAAACGATAATCCTAGATCGACTGGAGAGTCTTTCGTAGAGGATCTCGCTGTGGTTGCGCAACCCCAGCTAGAGGAAGTAAAGGGAATAAGTCCCAAGATTACAAATACGGCGGAAATAAGTTCCCCGAAACCCGCGGGAATAAGTCCCCGGGAAGACGAAGGAATAAGTCCTTCGAAGCCTGAGGGAATAAGTCCCCAGGAAATGACAGAGACATTGAATGTCATAGTCAATAACGGATCATGTGTAGGCGCTTATACACTTGATCTGATTGCGCCTCCGAAGTTAACTTCGGAGATCACTCAGTTGCCAACGCTCGAACATAAAAGGTTCTTGCGTGATCTGCGTAGTGGCAAAGTCAAGCAGATCTGCATACTCGTCGCTGACGACGAGTATGTAACCGACATAAGGTCAGCAACAGTGTTTACTGAGAACGAGAGAGTTCTCAGTAGTTCATCTATGGACGAGAGTGTCCTAGATGAAAAGACACGAATTGAGCGATATGAGTCCCAATCATGGGAATCGCTCAAGAAAAATCCTCTCTATGAAGATTTGGTTGAATTCAAGGATGTATTCCCTGAAACTGTTCCGTGCGAATTACCGAAGGATAAAGGTATTCGACACGAAGTCGAGCTTAAACCAGGCTCGAAGTACTGTGTCATGAAGCAGTGGCCACTGCCTCGTGAACAAGTACTTGCGATCGACAAGTTCTTTGCCGATCGTTTAGCAGCGGGCCATGTGAGGGAATCAACTTCCCCACATAGCTCTCCGACCTTCTGTGTGCGAAAAGCAACAGGAGGGTGGCGGATAGTGCACGCGTTTAACAAATTGAACGCTGCAACGGTACCGGCTCAGACGCCGATACCGAGGAAGGACGTAATCATTGATGGTATGTCAAAGAGTACCATCTTTTCGTCCATGGATTTGATGGATGGCTTCTATCAAATCCTAATGCGGAACAGGATATACCCTATACCGCAGTTAGCACGCCCTAGCGGCATGCTCTGGGAATGGCTAGTAATGCCACAAGGGCTCAGTAATGCCCCTGCCACGTTCAACAGGTGTGTATCACATCTGTTGAGGCCAGTACGAGAATTCGCGCCGAGTTATTTCGATGACGTATTCATCCATAGTCGAGCTATGGATGGAAAGTCGGACGTTGAGGTTCACAAGTACCACGTCCGACAAGTTCTTACAATCATGCGAAAGCATCAATTGTATGCAAACCTCAAGAAGTGTATATTTGCAGCAAGCGAAATACCACTTCTTGGGTGCATCGTTGGTAAGAACGGTGTACGTCCTGATCCCGAAAAGATCAAGGCGATCACCGACTGGCCCGTGCCGGTCGATGTCAAAGGTCTTCGAAAATTCCTTGGGCTAGCGGCGTATTTGCATAAGTATTCACGCAATTACGCCGAGATGACTGTACACCTCTCTCGTTTGTTGAAAAAGAACGAGAGGTGGTTATGGAACGCTGAATGTCAACGCTCCTTTGAGGGTATCAAGCAGAGCTTGATACAATCCCCAGTCCTAGCAATAGCCGATCAGGACAGGCCATTTCATGTGGTCTGTGATGCCAGCGATTTCGCAATCGGCTGTGCATTAATGCAGTACGACCTTGAAGGCGTTGAACGCGTCGTCTGCTATCAGTCGCGTCAGCTGCAACCAGCTGAGCGGAACTATCCAGTGCATGACAAGGAACTCCTTGCCATGAAGTATGCACTCGCGAAGTTCAGAGTCTATCTATTAGGAGATAGACCCTTCGTTGTTTACACTGACCATGCGTCCTTACGCACGGCAGTGAACAGCCCGCACCTTTCACAACGAATGGCGCGGTGGTTGTCATTATTTGCAGAATACAACTTTACGGTCGAGTACAAACCAGGACGACTTAATGTCGTCGCTGATGCACTCTCACGTCGTCCCGACTTTGAAACAGTCGCGAAACCCAACAGTGAGACAGTCACTGTTGCGGTTATGACGTCCTCAGTTCCATCTACAACGTTGTATGATGATGTGAGGCGGGCATACGCCCAAGATGGTGAGATAGTGAAGTTGTTGTCACATCTCTCCCAACCATCTCGAGAATCGTTGAAACGATTGTCGTCTGCGTATCGATCTGCATCAGATCGATACACTACTCGTAACGGTTTACTGTACTATACAGCCGTTTCTGGTGACACACCACGTGTTGTCATTCCAGATGATATTGATCTGCGTTTGCGGATCATGTTCGAGTATCACGATGCTCCTATAGGAGGACATCGTGGCCGAGAGAAAACATATCTCACGGTAAGTCGAGACTTTTACTGGCCCCGCCAGTATCAGTTTGTGCGAAAGTATGTTCGCGCATGCGAAGTCTGCCAACGAGTGAAGTCAAGTCCTTCACTGCGTGCACCTTTACAGCCTCTACCGGTTCCGGCTGAGTGCTGGGAATCCATCTCAATGGATTTCGTCTTCGGGTTACCCAAAGACGCACGCGGGAATACGGGTATTCTCGTATTTGTTGACAGACTCAGCAAAATGGTACACCTTGTGGCTGTACCAGAGACAATCACGGCAAGTGGCTGTGCTTGTGTCTTTATTGACACCATCTTCCGACTTCATGGGTTGCCCCGTGAACTCGTATCAGACAGAGATCCACGATTCACTGCTGATTTCTGGCGTTCCGTGTTCAAATCACTCGGAACGCGCTTGAAGATGTCGACATCTGATCATCCAGAGTCAGATGGTCAGACGGAACGTGCCAATCGTGTCCTTGAAGAGATACTTCGAGGATACGTACACTCCTTTAAGAGTTGGAGTGAGTTTTTGCCGATGGTAGAGTTTGCCATCAACAACTCGGTGCATGCGTCCACGACACATACACCGTTTTACGTGAATGGCTTGCGCCATCCGCGTGTACCCACCTTACTAGAGTGTAACTCTGGTTTAAGGGGGAGGGACTCGCGCGAGCAAAAACCGATTTGGTTCACGCTCATCACGCTCTGACGAAGAAGTCATTGCGTTTGATGCCGATATCGATAACATCGATATCGAAGAAGATGATGCCAGTGAGAGTGCGGAAGCCCTCACTGAAGACAATGATCCCAGTGAGAGTGCGGAAGCCCTCACTGAAGAAAAGGTTGTTGTCGCTGCAGTGCGCTCACAGCACACTGAAGCTAACGAGTCATCAGATGAGTTCATACTGGCTCGTGAAACGGTAGTCCGTTTTGTGCAAGACTCCATCGCCGAAGCGGTGGATAAGCAAAAGCAAAACGCTGACAAGAATGGAAGGGCAAACACTCTTTTATTTAATAAAGGTGACTTAGTCCTACTGTCTACGGTTAATCTACCAAAACATGTAGTGACTAACTTGGGTAGCAGTAAACTACTACCCAAGTACATTGGCCCATTTCGTGTATTGCACCGCCTAGGCAATGCATACACGATCGAGTTACCACGTAAGATGCGAACGCATCCCACGTTTTACGTTGGTCGGCTTAAGCCGTACCATCAGTACGCTGCTTCTTCCGATGAAGAACGCCCTTGCGCTCAAGCATCTCGCAGAGAGCCTTGTGCTCCCGATGGTGGGCATCAACAAGGGTCTGAAGAGCAGTTATCTCAGCCCGAGACCGATCAACAATCCCACGAGCTACCCTTAGCTCGTCACGAAGAGATGTCAGAGATCTCTCGTTCTCAAGCTGAGCAAAGGCAAACTCAGCTCGATGCTTCGAGGCAGTGTCCACCATCTGGAGACGCCTATTCCGCTCATGCTCGAGATCGTCGCGTAACCCTTGCGTTACGCGATCAAAGAAGCTCTCGGGAACACACCGATCCACATGATCGTGTGGAGAGCGTCTTTCCTCCTCCTCCACCTCCATTAGAGGACTCTCGCGGTGGCCAGCGCTATCTAGTTGAGCAGCTGTTGAACCACCGCGACGTGAACGGACGTCGGACGAGTTACCTCGTCCGGTGGCGCGGCTATCCCCCGTCCTGGGATTCTTGGGAGCCCCGCTCCCAATTGATGGTTGACGTACTGGGTCTGGTCGAGCAGTACGACGCGACACATCCTGTGCCGCAGAAGGACCGCCGGAGAAAGTCTTCCCGGCACGGTCGTAAAGGGATTTCAGGTTGTCAATCCCTTCGTACATCTCAGTAGAGACACGTACGCGCCACCACGGGCTGGTAAGGAGGTAAGCCTCCTTAGGTGCTCGTGCAGAGTTGTTCACACAACATGGGCACGAGTCTCCCCAAGAGAGGCAGGGAAA